GAAGGAGACGCCAGAATGGCGTCATTACTATAGTAGGGTGGAAACTAGTAATTATTAATAACACTTTTAAAGCACGAGTACATTAATACTAAATATCATCCTGACTAGAAACATAATTGACAGCAAATGTTCAATATCTAGAACTATTACCAAAATAAATATTCGGAAAATTAGGTCGATTTTTATTTCCAGGCCAAATATGTATTTAATGGGATGAGAGGAAAGGAATTTTAATTTTTCATTTATTACTACTTTATTTCAACCAAGAAAAAGTTTGAAGATCAGTTTAAAGATACATTTCCATAATATGAAATCATAAAGCATTCTTTCTCCAATAAAGCAATAAAACCGAATTCTTTTTATTTGTTCACGTATGCCGAAACGTTAATACGTAGTTATTTGAATAATTATTCTGTAGGCGGAAAAATGTGAACAAATATATACCGCCCTCTTAAATATTAATTCGTGTATTATTTCATTGTCAATCACGATAGTGCCTTCTTGTGATATTTATTTTATTTAGGCGTATTGTTTGATGCTTATAAGCTGCTTCTATTTATACTGACACGAAAGACTTATCTGTGTGAAACTTTTACTGTCCCTCAAGGTCTTCACTGCGTTTTGTGCAAAATTTTTTCTGCGTACCACTTTTGTGTTATAATAACTTTACAAATTGTTGTCACTAAATGTTACACTATGCGTTATTTAAAAAAACCTGATGTGGACACCACATGACTTCCTTCTACGGCCTATAAAGTTAGACTCATTTTTTGCTGCACTCCATTTAAACTTATTTCCTCCAATTTCTAATAGATTTTCTTTTCATTTCTCATTCCATCAATTCAGTTCTCATTTCGCGGCAAGGCAAAAATACATAAAAACTCAAAACATCTTCATTAAAAATTGCAAAATACAGAAAAATATAAAACACCAAATATAGTTAAAAAAAAAAACAATTTTTACAATTAAAATTTGAGTTTCTACGTAAAAATAAGCAATTCAGCTAGCGAGCAGGAAAATGCATTTTTTTCGGTGCACAAAACTGGATGTTTACTTTTGGTCCCAATGAGCAAACAGACACTGAAGTTGGTGCCCAAACTGACTTAATTCATTATTCTACTAAGAGTTGCAATTGAAAAAAAAAATGGCGGCGTCGTTAGGCTTAGTACCACTTAAACAACTTTTAAATTGTTGACAATTTTACACCTTTTGCATGCAGATTTACTAAAAGCAGAAACCTGTACCAGAACATAAGAATAACATAATTCAATCTCTTTTAAAGCAAAAAATGCACAACTTACCAACATATAAGAATAAAAAAAACTGTCTGCTGTAAATAAGATAAATCTTCCGTAAAATATAAAAATAAGTTTTCCTGTAAAATCTTAGATTTTTAAAAAAAGATTAAATAAAAATTACAAGAATGCATATTTACTCCAGTAAGTACAAGAAATAAATTTGTATTTTTATCAATAAAGAAAGAAATTTTTGAAAGAAAGAAATATAATAACATTCATATAAAGTAAATAGCTGATAAAAAATTAATCAAATAAATAAATTTAAATGATACGGTATACAAAAGAGATATTGTTAGTTCATATGCAATGCAATTGTTAGACGTTATTTCTATTCGTTAACATAGCTTATTTCCATCTGAAATTATGAATTTACGTAGTGTATATTGCAGTTAAGGATTATGCGATACATAAAACGAGCCCCAGTTCAGCCTGCCAAAGATTGCTGTTACTATTTGTAATTTAAGTAACCTTCCAGACTTCAACTAAAACTTGTAGAAAAATAAAATTTTGGGAAAAAAAAATTACAAAGAACAATATTGTTACGAATTTTTGTATATATATGTAAAAAAATTTAGAGAAATTATATATGAAATTGTAGTATTTTTTTGCCTAATTCAACATGAAAGGCTTGAAAGAGAAGATATTCTGCCGGCAAAATAAGAATACAGGAACAAGTCCATTGAACATTGAGTAAATGGCTATCTCGCTGAATTGGCTGGCTGTTAATGGCTTTGGCAACTAATTTTGTCGCCAAATTTGGCAATAAATTTCAAAAAGTCGTCAAACTTGGACATATTTTGGTCCGATCTTTGCATAACCGTAATGGGTACTGTAATTGAACTTTTATGTAATTGTAACCGAATCCGGCCCTCATATTAGAGGCCCTCTTTTGAGAAGTGGAAGGCACTAGAGATTTCTCGGCGGCAGGGGAAAAACTATATATGACTGGTGAGAGCATCAGTTTTTCGATAGTTGTTCAGTTCATCGTGAGCTTGGAGTATTGAAAGATCTCCATAGGATTTTCGCTTTTTTAATTCGCATTGCATAGCATTGTGTTTAACACTCTTAGTAGTTTGAAGTGTAATTACTGATTATACCCTGTGATATTGAGAAGACCCGTACGAGTATTTTTTGTGGAAAGTTCCAGAATTGGGAAGTTCCTTTCGGTACAATACATTTTATCAAGCTATCATCGGTTCTGTATGCATTTGATCTACTATGAGCTCGTATGTTCGCAAAAGTATAAACGACATCATACTTATCATAAGAAATACAGTGGTGGCCAAAATTGTGCACACTTTTGGAAATTTTTATGTTTTTGAACTTAAAATTTAATGTTTTTTAACTTTGTATGCTTATAGAAAACGTTACGTTTCACAAAATGTAAACTTGTATATATCATTTTAAAGAGAATTTATTACTGAATTCAATACAAAACACAAAATTCAATTATATGCAATACAAAAAAAGTTTAACGATAATAGTTATCGATATACATTAGATAGTGATGATTGCAGTGAGTTATCAGTACTTAGTACGGTACCCTTTATTTTTGATTACAGCTTCACATCGACGTTTCATTGAGCTGACAAGAGTTTTAAGCTCTTCTTTCGTTATTACATGATGCCAGGAAACAATTATAGCCTCAATTAGTTCCCTTTTATTTGATGGGCGCCGCATTCGGACAAGAGTTTTCAAACGGTGCCACAAATTTTTGATAGGATTGAGGTCAGGACTGTTTCCTGGCCATGACAACAATTTAAAGCTCTTTGTACGAAACCACTCTTTCGATATTTTAGCCGTGTGGCAGGAGCAGAATCCTGCTGAAAATAAACGAAGCATTTTGGGAAAGAGATCTCTGATGGAAGGTAGAGTTTTTGGTTCTAGAATAGTGTCAATGTATTTTCTGGCATTCAGTGTTCCATCGATGACATGAGGCGACCAATACCATCTGCTGACAGGCATGACCAAATCATAACACTAACTGGTTTTCTTCACAGTTTGCTTGAATGCAGTCAGGATGTAGCTCTTCTCCTATTCTACGTTTTACATATTTTCGCCCATCACTATCGAATAACAATATCTTAGTTTCATCACTCCATATAACTTGTGACCACTGATCATCTGTCCAACTAATGTGTTACTTTGCCCACTGTAGTCTTTTTTTTTCGTTGCTGAAATTAAGATAAGGCTTTTTTCGTGGAATCTACCTCTCAGTCCAACATCTGTTAATCTTCTCCTGATTGTTCTTGAACTGACAGAACACCAGCATCATTCAGATCACTTCTTCTGATGGCCGCTGATGACATTTTTCTATCTTAGAGACATAGTCTTTTTATCTCTGTCATCTATAGATGTGGTGCACCTTTTACGGCCTTTTCCTTCTTTGTTTTTTTTGAATTTGTCCTCCTGATATCGTAAACAAACTTTCGGACTCCAGATGTAGTCACTGAACCACCCACCTGTCTTGCAATTTCAGCATAGGAAAACCACTTTCTCGTAACACAATAATATTACATCTCTTCTAGGTGTCCACTACTCTTTTATTTGATGTCATTGCTTCTTGACTAATATTAAAAATTTTTACAAAAATTCCTACTTGTAATTGCAGTGTATAAGAAACAGGATCTCCTTCTGCAGAACAAAGCAAAATAATGAATTGTTTCAAGTGTAATCATGATGTCAGCTTCTACTGGCAGTTACTAACATTTGATTGGTTCTCAGAACAAGAACAGTGATTGGCCAGGAAAGCTGACATTACAAACCACTTCATAACTGGTGTTTTTTATTTATATTAAAATACATATTTTTTTGTATTGCAAATAATTGAATTTTGTGTTTTGTATTGAATTCAGTAATAAATTCTCTTTAAAATGATATATACAAGTTTGCATTTTTGCGAAACGTAACATTTTTCCATAAGCATACAAAGTTCAAAAACATAAAAATTTCCAAAAGTGTCCACAATTTTGGCCACCACTGTACTTTTAATTAAATTTGTGGCAATTTTGGGCTAACAGTCATAAAAATTTCTGAAAATTTTCTCAGGTGTTTTTTTCTCTCAAAACTTAAAAAGTTCTTAAATTTAACTTTATCTCACATAAGCACTTAAAATTTTAAAGTCTGAATTTGAGAAAATTATTCAAATAACTACCCGGAAGCTTTAAATATGAGCAATAGCTTTTCTTTAAAACTGCAAGACAAAGTTCGGAGGAATCTTAAGAGCAGTTATTAAATAGTGAAAGAAAAATCAAGAGAAACAGATTGTCATCGAATGAGTAGCTTTGAAAGAACACTCAAGCATATTTATAATTGTTACGTGCTTTAATAAAAAATCGACAACAAAGAAAAAGGAATCTTTTACAACAGTCATCTGAGAATAGGCGATTTAGCATAGTAAATGAATTTACGTCCTCTAAACGTTATAACACCGCAAAATATATTTGATGGAATAAATTAACTCTTGGTGAATTTCAAGATTTCAGAATGTAAACTTGTACAATTACTACAGATGAAATCTCATTGATGCTAGTTTAATGTAATGGACTTATCTATATGATCGATAAGATAGATAAATGGGTAGGAGCTATTTATCATCAATGATATTACACTCCTAGATGTCGATTTTAACATCAGATTTGCATCAATTCAAATCTAACACTGAAATCAAGGTCTGCTGATGCCATCATATGTAATACTCACCACAGTTATATGAATACTCTAAATGCGCAAACATTAAGGAACATACTCTTTTTATAATCAATTTACAACATCCAATGAGACCATTTCAATGCTTCTTTTTCAGATCTAGGATGACTTTGGACACTGCTTCAAGAAACAATATCTTCCCTGAAATAAAAATAAATAATTAAAAAAATCTGAAATCTCCGAATCTGATTTCATTCATTCACCAGTAATCGAACCTATGTGAGAATTACCAGTGTTCAGCGACTTAACTACTCGGCAGCTGGTAGGCTAAAACTATTGCTTTAGAAATCTTTAAAAATCATACACAAATTTATTAAACAAGAAAGATTTTTAATTTTTGATTTGAAATGTTTATTACTTAATCTATTAACATCGGAAACCTATTCCTAAACTAATGTTTTATTCTTAGTTTAAGCGCAAATGCTAACACTTCACTCTTCAGTTTTATGTGCGGTCCCTACATATGGTGTTAAACTTTAAACCAAATATCTCTGTCACTTTTCGTCGTATACTCCCCTGTAGTACTCTGCGTTTTATAAGGAGCATAACATTTTCTGAAATGGAAGTATAAAGACAGGAAAAAAGTATAAAATTTAGATTTCCTAATTTTCAAAAAAAATTGATTTTTTATACATATAAAAATGCTTGATCATGAATATTTGAATTTTCTTATTTGGAAATATATGTCTACGAGCAACACTTTCGAAAATAAGGACCGGGCTAGACGGCATGTATATTCTCTGTAATTCATGAAGCCTGTGATGTGAATTTTGTACCCAATTTTCAAGAGCTGGTGGCTGCTGTAATATAAACCTGATTAATTTTCTTTTTTGCAACCGACCTTCTTGACCACTGTCAGTGTAGCGGCAGTTTTACGCATGCACCAAGGAGGTTAGAATAAAAGAAGGGAGGATTGAACTTAGAAAGTGAATCTTCCGTGGCCATATTCACTATGAATCGTCATAATAACTATTATTTCTTTAAATATTTTAAGCTTGAGATATGTGTTGCATATGGATGCTTGAATAGAACATCTAAAAGGGCTCCCGTGTTTACTTTTCATGGAATTTAGTAAACACGTTTAAACATATCACCATGTGATGTATTTTCTATTCCATGTAATAAACATGTTGTAAACAGACAACAGAAATCAAATTATATTAAACGTATTTTAGATACATAAACAGATTTGAGACGTTTAAGAGAAATCAAATTAAAGTAAACATATTTTAGAAATCAATTATATTAAACATATTTTTCTGTTTCTGTTTATAATTAATATTGTTGTACCTTAATAAACAATAATATAAGCTAGGATTTAAAGTCTGCTATTTCAGTGCTTTAAAGAATTTGTCTAAATCTTCATGACAAGTAAAATTGAAGAATTATTATTCATTATTAATTAATTCAAGAAATTTATTTTTACTACTTTTATAAATTTAAAAGAATTAAATATAGTAATTTTTCTTCTTATATGTTATTTACTACGCATTTTTATGTATTGGAAACTGTTACCTTGTTTCCAATACATAAACTATTGTTTACTAAAGTTATACTGTCTATTGTTATAAATCAATTGCACAAAATGTGTCTTTGCTTAAAACTTATAAGTTTCTGTTCAATTGTAATGATAAAAGTAAGTAAAATGTTTACCATTATTGAACATTTGGAAAGATATATCTAAGAATTTATATAGTGCTAAATTTTTTTAACTGAGAATTAAATTTCTTTAATCGAAATTCGAATATATGAAGCAAGTATCAAATAAAATCCTTAAATTTATATAAATCTATTTTATTTTGTTCTAATATCTATAACTTACTGATGATACTTTACTACTATGAATATTAAAAAATATGTGGATTTCGGCTTTACTATATTACTAAATTACTACAATAAAATAACTTTATTACATAAATTATTCCTGAAACATTTTATATGAAATGCTCCTTTATTAAATTACGATAACACTGCAAATAAATCAGAATTGTTTATTATTTTAAAGAAAACTTTATAACAGCATAGGAACATATGGAAAGTTGATTAACAGAGTTAGATACATATGCATTTAGGTTTTGCATTATTACTTAATAATTATCTGTGTGTGGTAAATTATAGATATCATCTTTATTACGTTGAAACAAAAATTTGACAATCGATCTGAAATATATTTCATGTTTAATGCATTTTTACCTAAAGATACATGCAGAATATACTAGAAACAAGTACACCTCATTGCCGCAGAGCAATGTTTCGATCTCATAAACATAGCCGCTGCTTGATAAGCAGGTTTCATTTTCGGATAATGGAGGGAACTGTGAACCCTCCCTCCTTATATTCAAGCCTCCTTGGCATGTACTTATGCTTTATTCAATTAAAATTTTCATATTTATGCACTTTGCTAATTTATTAAATTTTATCGTAAACATTACAGGCACCGAGAAAGGAATCAGAATTTCAGAATATTTTTTTTAATATAATATATTCTTTTAATGAACTAGAAACTATCACATTATCAAATCACGGAGAAAAACTGAAAAAAGTCTGCTAATTTAGATCTGATGAAATTACCGTGAGAAAGTGTAAAGTAATAAATATTGAAAAGATTGTTAATAACCTAAATTAATGTATTTTAATTAATTATGCATATAATTAATGCATATAATACATAATAATCTAAATACTAATATATATAATATAATAATATAAATACGCCTACGGGCATAATAATATAAATACTTTCGTGTAATAAATAACACTAAAATAATGTACCTGGCTCTCTGATTTGAGATGACTGCAGAACATTGCGACAAAAAGAGAGCAATTGGTTTTGTTTCTTTTGATCATTTTGTTTTTAACGTTGAGAAAAGAAATATTCATGTTCTGAAATATAATTACAGAACAGGATAGGAATAAGTATACGGGGCATCAAACTTTTACCGTATTTGTTAAACAGGTATTGCACCTGCGATGCTGGTAATCAAGTAAAGTTCAGAAGTTCTGTACTAACTTTCGAAAACATTTTCAAGAAATTATTCCTTAAAAAAATGTGAAGGTTAACTGTTTCGTATTAATTACTGTTCACAAACCTCTTGGCTTTGTTTCGAAAGGTATGTGATAATATCAGTGATTTTATCATGAAATTATAGAGTGTATATTTTAAATTAATTAGATCCATTTGCAAATTTTCCGGGGCATTAATCATGTTCTTTTCTGATAAGGAAAATAATGTAAAATAGGACTCCAAATCAATGAAATATTAATTTTTTTCTTCAAATTCTTCCCATAGTAATTAATACGATAATTATGCTAATTAATTTATGGGAAATGTGTACGTGGGTAGCGTAAAATTCTTTCGGAGGCTGACGGTGACCAGCGAGCTGCAAGTTTGAGATCATCGCTCTATTACACAGTTCGGCGAAGCCTTTGATATCCATAATCTTTAAACCAAAATTGCCTACCATCGTATTCAAAGTACGTTACCTTGAATAAATAGTTTTGTACTGCACGTTTAAAGAAAGCTCAGTGATGGCATAAAAATGTTCTCAATTTATTAAAATCAATTAAACTACAAACCATTATGCCACAGCAACAGTTAAATAAGTTTATAGGGTTACATTTAATGGTAATGCTAATTTTAGTCCTGTAACTCTAACAGACGTGAAGGGAGTTAGCTCTATGCCTGCGATAAACGGCAAAAATCTTAAGAAGGTTATAACAATCTTTTTATTTCAACAGAACTTGGAACACAAAATACTGCTATGGTGCTACAATAACTACAACTCGTGGTGATGCAAATAAATAGAACAGGTGACGGGTGAGAGCAAGTCTGGACACCCGGGCGGCTTGCACAAACTAATCGGGTATCGTCCGGTCTCGTATCTATCTAAAACTAAAGCAACACCCCGAATTGAAGACAATACATGACGATACAAGGTCAAAGTGTTAGATTATTCTGCATGCGTTGCATAAAGTACGTGAAATGCTCTGCAAACTACACTGCGATTGCATAGTACTATGGCAAAAACTCGTAAATCGTACATTACGCTAAAAGCTAAAGACGTACCCGAAAATAACTATAAAACTAAACATTCTTCAAGTTATATTTTACACTGACATGTTGCTACACTTCATACATTATGTTAAACTTTACACTGTGTTTACGACACATATACAATACTCATTACTACACTCTTTACGCTATATATTCTATGCTACACATTATGTTAAGCATTTCGAAATAAAAAAATTTAAAGAAAAAAAAAAAGCAAATTTAAATTAAACGTTGAACGGTAGTCAAAGTCTACACAATTAAATGCTAAACTAGAAGCAAGTTCAATAATTTTATCGGCACATCAGAATAAAAGTATCAGCGGAGGACCGCAAGGCCAAATTATTACAACAAAGCTCACGAAAGCCAACCACGTGTAGCGCGCAGATGCCAGAAATACTCTCTGTCTCAAAGTACTGATACTGATTATGAAGTTCCTTTTGGAGTCCCATAAATCTCCGTCTCAAATCCCAAAACCTCAGCTTAAATACTCGCAACTTATTTGCATTTTGATGAAGAATACGGAAGGGATAAGTTATAGTAAAGATTGAAATTATAATAATTGGTTAATTAACATAAAGATACCCTACAAGTTATTAATCAAAAGAACTCACTGATACCGACTTTATACATCAAAAACTTCATTATGTCTGTTTTTTCCCCCAATTCAGGTTCGCTTATTTATTATTTCCTTGTTTTTAAATACAAAAATATATTTTTCATCCAAGGGAAATAGATTAGAATTATTAATGAATTTTTGGTAACATTAATTCCCTTAAAAACTGTATTCGATAAATCTTTTCTTCCGTGTAATGATTAATTAAGCTCACTGTTGTCGCTTTCTTTCTGATAAATTCTTTATTTTGTATTTTTAAGTCTCTTTAAACCGTTTATCGAATTTTCTATGTAATTTGCATTTAATGAACGATAGCTGCAAGAATAAAGTTTAGGCTACATCAGAGAGATTCTAGAACACTTCAAGTCACTAATGCGCACTTTGCACTAAACACTAATTTTTATACATTAGGTATTTAAGTATTCAGTGGTTTTCTTATTTTACGCAAAGGATCTCAATCTCAAGAGAA